TATTTAAGTTATTGATAAAAAAATTAATTTAAATTTTATATTAAATAAAAAAGATTATTATTTTTTTTATAGTTTATTGTTATCAAATGTTAAAAAAAAAGTCAGGTGACGAGTTCTTGTAAATGGCTTCTTACATGCCTATCTGGTGCATGGTGCGTTGCTGCTATTCTAAATTGGGTGCTACCCACTTAATAATATCTTTTTAATAAAAATCAGAGATTATAAGTTCATCTTGCTTGGTATTAGAGGTGGAGGAAGGGGGCGTGAGAGGGGCAACCGCTCCCTCAACCTTTGAAAATTTTTAAAATTAGTGTGCATAATTTTTTTTTGGTTTTTTAACATTTTTAAATATTTATATATATCATGTGAAAGTTTAACATATTACCATATATTTTTTTATTATTTTTCATACTTAACAACTCAAAACAATACAATTTATAATATTTTTATTATAACTATCATTTTAAATAAAAAAGATAGAACTTAATTAAATATTTTATAAAAGATAAGAAATTTTCAATTTTAAATAAATGAATTTCCTCCTTATTAAATAACTTAGGAATCGAAGCTCTTAATTAAACACAAATTCAAAGAATTTTCTCCCTTTAAGTTTTTGAATTGTTTTAGGTTCTTTTTTTTTTAATTTTTATCATTTATTTTAGAAAATAATTTGACTAACAAAAATTTTATTGATAAAAATATTCGAGTCTTTATTTATTCAATGGTTTCAATTTTTAAATACTAAATTACATATTCTCTCTTTAATATTATTTAATTTTTTTGGGATGAGAAAAAATAACTTCTAATAAACAAGTCAGTTAAAAAAGATAAATATTTTGGATTGTAAGGAGTTAAGATCTTGAAATTATTTGAATTAGTTGTTCAATTATTTAAATATTATCATAGTGAAGCATTACTTCTTATTTTAATAAAATAATTCATTTAATAAAAAATTATTGAAGATATGGGACAAAGGAAATATATTAATTTCTTAATTTTGTTGAGATTATAAAAAGATATCAATGAAAAAAAATCAAAATCAAAACTTTTTTCAAAAATAAATTAACCGGTTTCATAAAAAAAATATTTAAGGCTCAAATAGTCAATAAAGAAGTTCGCATCCCCTCACTTACTTTTCTAGCTATACCCCTACATAACATATTAATGGGATGAGTTTGACGGATAAAATAGAGTTGATTCTCATTTTATAATTTAAAAGTTTTTTAAAAAATATAAAAAAAATTAGGTGTGCTGTACATTATAAGTAAGTTTCATGTTCAAATTTTGTAAATAATACTTAAAAAATTATTTTTTTAAATGTTCTACACAGATGAGGGAGATGTATTATTAATTTTTTTTAAATAAAATAATTTTAAAGTGCGTGTAAACTACCAGCAATAGTGGTATAATTAGAATTATAAATTTACAATTATGACATATTATTAAATAAATGAATACATTTAATAAATCAATATACAAATAGACAACAAACCCCTAAAAAAAAGTAAATCAGATAATAACATATTATGATTATATATTTATAATAATAAATGTTATTGTTACTATATAATTTTTTATAAACGAACTAGACAACTAAATTAAGCTAGGCCCTAAATGAGTATTTTCATAAAGCCTTTGTGTAACAGCAATTGGTAAATATAATAAACAAATAAAACTTAACAATGCTTAGATCTAGGACTTAAGTCTTGAGATCAGTATTTAAGAAAATAAATTTCTTTAAATATATCATGTCAATATAGGAATGTACTCTTAAAATTATTTAAAAAGAGTTTAATGTTGAAACATGTAAAAGCTGATTTGAGGACACCATAATCATAAATACCCCCAAAAAAAAAAAAAAAACACTTAAAAATGCTGGCAACTTAAGTGGCTACAACGTAAATTTCCTGCTTGGTAAAAATAGAATGTTCTAGATTCGAAATGCAAAATATAAAGATAACGTGAATTAAGAGAGAGTTTCTTCATTTAAAAAAAAAAAAAAAGGGCCTAACTAAGTAAGCACTCACCAATCCTAAGATTTTGATTTCAAGTCAATAGAAAAATTATTAAAACATATTTGGTTGAATACACATTTTAATACTTATTTAATTCAGCTATTAAATTATAATATAAATGTAATTTTATTTAATTAGTTCTTGCATTCTATATATAAAGTTATACTTTTAAATTTATTTGTTTTTAATTTCATATTAAAAATATAATTTTTTAATTAATGTGCTATATAATATAGTAAATCAAAATATATATCAATTATTATTTAAATTATCATAATACTAACTTTTATTATACTAATTTACCAAAAAAAAAAACTTTTATTATACTAAAAATTAACTTTTGGTTTTATGCATTAAAAACTGAATATTATGTGTAAAATTCTTATAAATAATCACAAGTCAAATAATAGATTAATGGGTCTCAGTGTCCCTCTCACCAGGTTGGGTATAAGCCTCTCCATCATTGGGAAGTTGCCAAGAATTCTTGGGGCAAAGTTTCAAAATGTATTCCATCAGCAAGTGTCACTGTGATGTAAACTAAAAATTTTATCACTAAGAAACTTCTCCTTATAGGTTAGTAACAAGTGAACATTGGCCAAAAGGGAACGAAAGCTACACATAAACATTTCTGACATTTTTCTAGAAAAACCGAACATGATGTTGAAATTTCTTTTTTGACTTTAATTTAATTTGAAGTAGAAAAACTAATATAGATATATAAGCGAGGCTTTGGGCCTAATCAACTTAAAATCATTTTTTGGTGATGATAAAGTATAGTGTATATTTTTAGTATTGCAATGTGGCTTTTTTATTTTTTTTATAGGAACAATGTGGATGTTAGAATTTTTTTTTCTTAACCAGGACAATATTCGAGAAAAAGGGGAAAATATTATCCAATAAAAACTTGAATCTTGGTATGAGTTAATGTGTTTGATACATATTATTAGTCCATCAGAAACTACTAGTGCAACGTTATGGATGTTAGATTATGAACATATTGGTTAAAGAGGTATATTTATTGGTAAAAAAAGATACTTTGTTAATATAAAATTAATACTAGTATTCTAAAATTAATTTGTGTCAATGTTTATAGCATGAAAGTAATCTCTAAGAATGCAAAATATCAACAAGGCTTGTTTCAAGTGTTTTGTAATGTAATGGCATTAAGTGGGTGTTTGGTGCAGCTGGTGGGAAGATCTTTTGAAGTCCAAAAGGTCCAGCTGCACCAAACACCCTAACTTTTGAGATTGGCTTCAGCTCCCAAGAAGTAAAAATTACCTTCCACCTTTTGAAAATTGAGAAGTAAAGAATTTGAAGCTTTTGTGGGAGCTTCCCGTTTCTTTTTAATGAAATTGGTCAATTATACCTATTTTACCCTTATATTTTAATAAATTTACGACTAAGCCAATATATATACCACCTCATTTATAACCCTAACCCTTTCTTTTCCTCATTCCCCATCCCCTCCATCTGTCAATTTCCTCTGTTCCCATTTCCTCTGTTATTTGCCATCGTTTCCATCTCCTTCGTTCGGTCTCTTTTTCTTCTTCATTCTCACCCAAAAAGTACTTCTGCTTTGCTTATCCCGATCTTGCTGTTGTATTGAAGCCCAGTTTCTTACATCAATCCTAGATCTAGGGTTGTGCTCAATCCCAATCGGTAGGTATCTCCTTCTTTGGGTCTCTTTTCTTCTTCATTCTTACCCAAAAAGTACTTCTGCTTTGCTTATCTCGATCTTGCTACTCTATTGAAGCTCAGTTGTCCAACATCAATCCCAAATCCAGTGGTGTGCATCAAGTTTTAACCAATAAGCTTCCAAATCTAGTGGCTTGTTACTGTTTTTTCTAGTTTTTTTAGGTTGGTGGTTTGATTTTAAAGGATGTTGAATCTATACTTTTGATTGTTTTAAATGGGGTTGTCTTCACATTGTAGTACTAGCTAGAATTGCCTTCTTCTATGCATGCAGTCGAAAAAGAAGTCTACATTGATTACAAATCATGGTTGATTCTTTCCTTCTGAGCTTCGAAACTTACTTAACCCCTAAGGCCACAAAATATGTTATTCATCATATTATTCTTTTTCACAGTATATATATTTTACTATTTTTCATTTTTAACAACTATTGCATGTAGAAACAGATCAAAGATGGAATTAAATTCATTAGAAGATTAACACATGCTTTAAAAATAAGATAAAATAAATAACACATACTTTGGCCTTGTGTTCTGTCTTTCCTCACCATAATATTTCTTAATTTCATTTTGGTAGTAAATTAAACCACCAAATTTGTTCAGATATTATTGTTTGTAGTAATACATATGTGAAAGAGGAAGGTTATTTGCTTTCATTTCATGAGCCTTAAAATAATTGGGAAAAAAAAAGAAGGAAAAATCCAAAATGGAAAATCAAATTTGCAAAAGCATGTGTGCGTCCACTGGGTGCTTAGTACATACTAATGGTAATTTCATGGATTATATTGACAAAACGCAATGGGGTTGTTTGGTGGAGTACTTGTTTTACAAACTTAAAAATTTGTTAGAGCCAAGCTTTGAATTTTGGAAGAAAATCATTTTTTTGCTTGCTTGCTTGCTCCTGATGACTCTGTCTCCTTCCTTCCTACCACCAATATTACCCTCTGCCTATTCTTTGTTGAATAATTTTTTTTTTTCCTCTTGACTTGATAAAATTGATTTTGGGAAAGGTGTGAGAGAAGAGGGGTTGGGATGGGAGTTCAACCCTATTCAAGGAGGTGGACAACCCCTTTGATAACCACCCAACTTAATATTGTTTTTGTTATTTTTAGATCTAAGCATGTGTTGAGATTGTTAATGTTACTATTATTAATACTGTCAAGTTTATATTTTTACAGATATTGTTTAAACTAAAAAATCATTTCACATATATAAGATAGCAACCCCAAAGACAAAGGTAGTATGGGATGCAATTACAATTAAAATTAAAATTTTTTGTGAGGTCTGTTTGGAAGAGGTTATGGCTGGTAATCGTCCCACTGGTGCTTTTAATAAAATAGGGTGGAAAAATGTGGAACAAAAATTCAATGCAAGAGCAAATAAAACTTATAATTATAAACAATTAAGAAATAAGTGGGATTCATTAAAATGTGATTGGGTTTTGTGGAATCAACTTTTAAAACAAGAAACAGGGTTAGGGTGGAACCATGAAAAGGGTACCATTGATGCTACTCCTTAGCGATGGGCTGCATTGAAAGCGATTAGTATTATTTTGTTATTAGTAATGATTTTAAAATTGTGAATGTTTATATGCTAATTTTAACTTTAAATGCATAATTTCTTTTATCCTTTATGATGTTAATTATTGTAGGAGAATAAAGGATATGCCAAGTTTGAGCATCGTTGATTAGAAAATGCAGCAGAGCTCGAGAGAATGTTTGATAAAATAGTGACAATGGGTGAAATTGCATGGACCCCAACTGCTGGTGCTGTTTTTCCAACTTAGGATGTGGGTCAAGTAAGGGTTGAAGATGCTGTTGATTTAGAAGAAGGAAGTGGTGATTTTAATGATGTGAACATCATGGCCACACCAACCCAAAGAAGCAATGAAAAAAAGAAGAATAAAGTTGGTAGTTCAAGTAACCTTAAAGGAAAGAAAGTTAAGTTGGGGGGAGCAGTATGCATGCAAAGACAATTGGATCGTCTTTGTGATGCAGTTGAGAGTTACACCGAAGCTAATTTAACTGAATCATCAAGGAAGAATTATGCAGATGCACCTACTGATAGTGTTGGAGAATGCATGGATTTGTTGTTGACTTTGCCTGGAATTGAAGATGGTGATGAATTATTTATGTTAGGTACTCGTTTGTTTGTGAAACAAGAATACAGAAATATGTTTAGGAGCATCAAATCTGTTAACTCTAAAATTGCTTGGCTAAAACAAGAGTTAGAGACAGACAAGGTGAGGGCTGAGTTGAATAGGCAGAAAGTTAGTAAAAAGCACTAGGATGTGAGATATTAATCTATGTTGTTATATTTGATCTTGAGTTTCTAATATTGATGTGGTATTTAGGATTTGAGATGCAAAACTAATATGAATATTGGGGTTTTAATTTTGAGATTTGAGAATTTAAGTTTTTATTGTTTAGTTTTTAGCATGATGATATTTGTGATGTTGGTATTTAACATGTAGAATTGTAATATTTATGTAGAATTGTAATATTTATGTAGAATGTTGAATGATATTATGAATCTATGTTTTATCATAAAGTTTTTTTCAAATTATGTAATGATTTCCTACTCAAAACATGCATGTTAAAATAATGTTTGTGATTTTTTTTTTTTTTGTAGCACATGGAATGCATACATCTTTGCCGAAATGAGACAACACAAAGTTGAAAAAAAAAAGCATATTCCTAATTCAAAATGTGAGGACCGAAACATTAAAAAAAAAAAACCATAAAAATCAACAATATGTTACACTTCTAGAAAAAGGTCCAGTGCTGATTTGTTTTCTAATGCCTTCTTTTTTCCAACAAGACTAGACTAGAGACTTATAATTTAATATCTTTCAATAAAGAAACTGAAAGGCTGAAGGAGAATGGCAATAAAAACAAACAAACACAGTCAACAAGAACTGATGGACAATACAAGGAAATCTATTTGTGTTGATGTTGACAAAAGGTAAAAGTATGGAATAAGAACCTAAACTTGCACAAAATTTATAATTATAGACCTAAATTTCAATTGTGCTCAATTAAGGTCTAAAATTATATGAAATTCTCAATAAGGTTCTAATTGGATAGAAAAATAATTTTCCATTAAATGTTTCATGACTCCATTAATGTCCATTAATCTCTCACCGAATTTGAACGATGACATGGAAAAAAAATGCTAACTTGTCATTTTTTAATCCACGTGGATATCA